ACAGCGATCACTCAGTAATCCCTAGAGATTTGTTCCAGGACTCTTGCAGGTACCAAAATCTGTGGATTATATACAATAGCGGAGGATTTACATATGCCTATACTTTAGAGCTTTTTAAATTTATTTATCTGTTTGTTTGTTTGCTTATTTATTTTTGTGGTACTGGGAATCAAACCCATACCTCTCACATGGTAGGCAAGTACTCTATCATTGAGTTATACCCCCAACCCTCTCCTCTAAAAACTTTTTCTTTCCTGTTTTTTGTTTGCTTTTCCCCTCTCAGTACTGGGGTTTGAACTCAGGACCTACACCTTGAGCCACTCCACCAGCCCTCTTTTGTGATGGGTTTTTCAAGATAGGGTCTCATGAATGATTTTTCCCAGACTGGTTTCAAACCACAATCCTCCTGATTTCTGCCTCCTGAGTAGCTAGGATTACAGACACTGGGGCACTGGTGGTTCGTGCCTGGCTTGTTTGCTTTTTTTGAGATACAGTCTTGCTATGTTGTTCGGGATGGTCTTGAACTCTGGGCTCAAGTAATTCTCTCATTTCAACCTCCAGAGTAACTCTCTGGGACTACAGGATTGTGTCTGGCTTCTGTATACTTAAAATCATCTTTAGATTACTTATAATATCTAATATAATGTAAATGCTATGTAAATAGTTATTTTAGGGATGACAGGAAAAATGTCTATTTATGTTTAGTATAGTTTTTCCCCCAAATATTTTCCATCCACACTTGGTTGAATCCATGGATGCAAAACCCATAGATAAGAAAGGGCTGACTGTAATACATTTTTTTAAAGGTGGAGGTAGATTTTCATCAAATGACCAGTGTGGTAGATCTTATTTTTCCAAAAAAGTTTCTATCAGTATCTAGACATGTATAGTCTTTCAAAACTCTGCTACTCCCCTACTAGGGGGTGGATTTTTTAATCCACTCACCTGGGAAAACCTGTTTGTCTGCTTCAATTAACAGAATACAGATGGCAGAAGCATCACTCTGTGATTTTGGAGGTGAGGTCATAAAAAGTAAGTTTCAAGCATTGTTGGAACTCAACCACCATGTTCCTGGCTAACAGACAGCACTAACTTGCAAGCCACATGAGGGCACTATCTTGGAAGAAATTGATGCCATGTGGGGAATAGGTGAGCCATTCTTAGTAATCCCTATACAGATTGCAGATTCTTGAAGAACTCAATTATTGTGGTTGCTCTAAGCTGTGAAGTTTTGGAAGCTATAAACAATAACCACAGTAGTCAAGACTCAAATGAAACATCCATGATCAGGAAGGGCAACATAGCTGGATCTTTTGTATAGTGGACTTTGTATTTAGGAATAGGAGGGTCTTTTAGGAGCTAGTATGGTTCAGCTGACTAGTTTATCTTTGTATGCTTGGGTATCAGTCAGCATTCAATCAGGAGACATACAATAATTTGAACAAGGAAAGTTTAAATAATTTTTCTTTGTAATGGAATTCAAATAACAGGGATTGACAACTAAGGGGTAACTAGGAAGTACCCCTTAGACATTGAGGCAGAGCACTCAGATAAGGGGCAAATCTGGAAGAGACTCCTCTTATAAGGTTTAGGTTCAGACCTCAGAGAGGGAGCAGCTGTGGCCTAGTGGATTGTAGTAAGTTTGATAGGGTGCCACACTGGTGGCACTGTCTGGAAATGTGGCTTTTGGAGAGCAGGGGGAGTCTTCCACAAGGAGTTAGACACTGTAAAAGACACTGCTAAAAGAATGAAAAGCCAAGTCATGTAATAGGACAAAATATTTGCAAATCACATATATGACAAAGGACATGTAGTACAATTTTTAAATTGTACTACATTTTCCATTGATGGAAACTCACTTTTCATGATATAAGCAAACCAATTTAAAAGGGGGGAAATGGGGCAGAAGATTTGAACTGACACCTCATGAAAGAAAGTATATGGGTGGGGAATAAGCTCATGAAAAGATGCTTGATATAATTAGTCATTAGTAAAATGCACAATTTCAAGCACCAGTGAGATACTAGAACATACAATAGCAAAGCAAAAACCATCAAACAAGTATGAAGAAAAATGGAGAACAATAAGTCTGGTGAAGATGTGGAACAACTGGAACTCATATAATCCTTGTAGGAATGCAAAATAGTTCAGCCATTCTGGCACACAATTTTGCATTTAATTATAAAGTTAAACATAAACCTAACATGACCCAGCTTCTACTCCCAGGTATTTATCCCCCAAAAGTGAAAACCTGTTTCACAGAAAGCCATATATAAATAACAGCTAATTGCTATATCCAAACTGGAAATAACTTTATTTAACATCACCTGATAGCTGACAAATCCCCTTTCCACAGAAAAGGAAATCTAAGTAGTTGTAGATAGATGGTTTTTAATAATGACTTCCAATTTGCTCATGACTCCTTGTGTTGTGACTTTGTCACTTGTTGGTTTGTGGGTTAGGCCTGTGATTTGCTTTAAATGTGACAGTGAGAGGCATGGAAACATTTGTTCACTGGAACTGAGAACAGCTGAGAACCCTCTATCACGATGTGAAGAAGCCTGTAAGAGTTGAATGGAGAAAGAGCCATCCCTTAGCCATCCCATAGCCATCCCAGTGATCTCATTTGAATAGAATTGCATGAAGCCCTTCCTGAGCTGATCACCAATTCCCAGCCAACCCATAGACTTGTAAGCAAAAAATGTTTGCCATTTCAAGCCACTCATTTTCGGGTGCTTGTTAAACAGAAAGAGCTAATGGACACAGCTACTGTTAAGTTCACTCATCTCTTACCTGGTAAATGAAAAAGGAAATTCCTTGGGTCTGACTGCATAAATTACCTGTGAAACATTAAAAAAGATGCCTGGATCCTGTCAGCATGCATATGACTGAATAGGTTTCGGGTAAATGCCTAGTCACTGGGGTTTTTAAGTAATACCAAGTAATTCTTGTGAACACAAAAGGCAAAGATGTTATCTGATATTGGTTTACTCTAACACATATGGAATGAGTACAACTATACTATCTTGCTAGTTGCTTCTAGTCTATCTCTCTCAAAGAAAAAGTGGTTACAATAGTGCATACCAAGCTGATCCTCCAGACTTTCCATGAAATTCTGAGAAAACCACAGCTTTACTTGGTAGATTCACTCGTGACCCTTTCTATTGAGTGTTGACCTTCTCTTTAGGGTCCCAACAATTAAAACTCTAAATAAATGACCTTCAGAGTCACAAAACTATTCTTGTTTGTTTGCTAAATTGTGATAGTGGCCATTTTTCTTTTTAAATTCTAAATTTCACTACCAGCAATAATTTGAGTACCTTAAAAAGAGTTCTCCCAGTGGCTCACGCCTATAATCCTAGCTGCCTGGGAAGTTGAGATTGGGAAGAATGAGGTTCAAGGCCAACCAGGGCAAGTTCACAAGGCTCCCATTCTCGGTATGAAATGTTTATTTAGCACCATGTGGCACTTGGTAATACTGTTCTTCACCCCCCACACATTAAAAAAAAAAATCAACACTTTGAGATAAGGAGTCAGGCCTATGTATAACTTACATGTTCAATGTATCTGTTATAATTCTGTGCCTGACTAGTACAATAGATTTTGTAATTAAATGAAGTGACTTTGACACAAAAGGCTCAAAAATGAAAAAACAAACCAAACCACCAAAGGGCTGTTTCCCAGGAACCTTAAAATCAACTGGTGGCATACACCTGTAATCCCAGCACTTGGGAGGCAGTGGCAAGAGGATCTGAAGTTCAAGGCTGGCCTGGGCTACATATTGAGATTCTGTCTCAAAAAACAAAGTGTCAGGGTTGTAGCTCAGTGGTAGAGTGCTTGCCTAGCATGTGCAAGACCATGGGTTAGCTCCTTTAAAAAAAAAAAAAATCAAACTGAGTAATAATAATCTCTACATTTTGACTACACAGTTTAAGGATGTTTTCCTTGATTAGAATCATCTGTAGTTTTATCATAAACATATTAAGATTCTTGACTTCTTAGTGATGAGTAAATAAATACTAGGACGTTCACAAATGTATCAACAGGAACACTCTTTTATTTGACCGAATAACCTAATGTCAGTCCTTTATGATAAATATATAATTCTATTTAATCTGCATTTTTCTCCCTGTTATAATGAACAATTTAAATCTTTTTGGTTTTTTTTGCTTTCCTTTTCAGAAACTGTTTATATTCTTCATTCTTTTGCTATCACTGAGTTTTGCATCTTTAAAAAATATGCTACACTGGTAAGTTTGAATTTTTAAATCAAATATGTCATTTACTATCAACTACAAAACTGAAAAACATGTACTGCTTTGTAGAATGTACTGTATTTATAATTTGCTCCAACCTACTTTGATTTTATTTCCTTTTCTTGTATATAGCGCATCTAATTTTCCTGTCCAATTGGTCAGCTAATAGTTCATAAAATCTAGAGCAGAAGAGATCCACAGTGTGAAGGACTTAAAAGTGTACTTTAATTTTAAAAAGAATTGAGATTTTCTTAAGCTTTTTATCAGCATCTCCACCCTATGAAAGCCTTCCAAAAATCTGAAGGACAGAAGAATTTTTCTATTGCTACAAATAGAAAAATAATTACAGAGCTCATGAACATTTTAAATGCAATTGTGAGCAATGCAAACCTGGAACTGCCTTTTCATGGAGTTGTCCTCTTACAGAATTAGTAATGTTTTCAGGTATTTTTCCAGAGAGTAGTTTACTGGGTGCATAAAATGAAAAAATCAGTGCTATACAAAACAATAAAAATATTTTACACTTCTATTCATAAATTAATTCCATAATGAACTATAAACATGAAAAACAACAAAAGTTCTTGGCTTCCAACCTTTATGGATAGAAAAATAAATTATTTTAGTAGTTATCCAAATCTGCCTCCTGTTTCTAGAGAAAAAATGTATTACATATACATATTTCCTATACAGACTTAAGAATAGATACTGATCTATTTTTACATAGATTGTAAATAGTCTCTTTCAAAGCTAATTTACAGTAATTTTCTACTAGTAGAAAACAAACCATAAAATATAAAAATTTTATAAGTTCTGTAATTCAGGTAATTATGATTAATGTGTGGAAACATACAGTACAAATCTATTGATTAAGTACAATTATGTATGGAGAAAAATTTTACAATGGTCAGAAAAAGACTTTTTCATATTCTCAAAAAATTGCTTTATTACTGATATTCCTTTGACTGTTTCTGTATACTTTAAGAGAACACATTAACATCCAAAAGAAACAATATCCTATTATTTGACTCTTTGCTTTTTTCTTGCTTGAAACTGTTCTGTTTTGTTTTTTACAGATTTAATCAGCATTGACAAAGCAGGATCAATGGATTTCTTTTGTGTTGCTTTTTCAGTCTCACTCTCTTTTTTCTTCATTGCCTCAGTAAGTTCTTGTTCTTTTTGTTCTCTTTGCCGGGCTTTCTCCTCAAGGATTTTTTCCAATGCTTTTGTTTTTTTGAAATTTGGATCTGAGGGATCCAAATTAAACAAGTGGGAAGTATACATTGCCTGAAACCGTGCATCACTAACATTTATCTGCAAATTAAAAAAAAATAAAGCTGGTGAATTGTTGGTCATATAAAATACACATCTGAGCATTTTGTACTGATGCATTAGAAACTTGTTTTCTCAGATTTTCTTTTTTCTTTTCCCCACTGATTTTCAATGAGTTTTTTAAGGCCTATGCTTGGACTACAATGTGCAGGGTGTGCTATTCTCATCACACAACAACAATGTATTTGAAAGGGAGCTACAGAGAGAGAGAGAGAGAGAGAGAAAGAGAGAGAGAGAGAGAGAGGGAGAGAGGGGGAGGGAGAGAGGAGAGAGAGAGAGAGAGAGAGAGAGAGAGAGAGAGAGAGAGAGAGAGCGCGAGCGAGCAAGACTGCTCCTTGCTTATAAGATGAAACTGATGTCTGGCCTATATAGATAGGCCAATCAGGATATCTGCTGGAGTTTTATGCAAAGTTACTGCTTTGTGAGTACACTTTAAGAAATTTTAAACTTGGTGCCAACAGTAAGAAGCTACTGAGGATGACTCATAGATGAAAAGATTTAAAGACCTGCATGGGAAAGAATCCACCCTTGAGACTAAGATTTGGACAGATACAAATCCCACATTTATCTTCTTGCTGGGGGGTGTTCTCAGGTACTAGAATGCTTGCCTAGCAAGTTTGAGGTCCTGAGTTCAAACTCTAGTACTTCCAAGAAAAATAAAAATCCAAATTTATCTTCTATCTTTCTATAAAAACGTGGTTCTATACTTAAAAATGTACTGTTCACTCCAGTCACGTTTTCAAGTACTGCCAGGCCCAGTGGTGACCAGCAAGAAAGGGAAACATGAGTCTACCTAGAAGATTGTAGCTGTACTTATTTGACTACAAATAATTCTTTGCTTTTTCATAAGAAAACCAATTTACCAAAAGCTCCAGTGGAACCAAAGCAACTGTGGAACTGACTGATACAAACTGTAGCTACAAGTAGACTCAAAGTCCCTCTACATGCTACCCAAAGGTTATCTGTATACTGCCTTCCATTCTTTGAACAAATCAAAAATTTACTTATCTTATTTTGGGTCTTTTCTTCCATGTTAATTGTTAAGTAATTCCTGGTGGCTATTTGTAAACTTACAGAGAGAGCTCAAATGCATGCATAGGACTCTTGTGGCCACTGAGATTATATACTCAGAAAAAAGAGGAAAAAGGAGTGATAAAAACAAGACATACAGCAATTTAGAAAGCATGGCCTACAGTGCTGGCCTACAGTGTGGCCAACTGCACATAGCAGAGTGAGACCCAAGGTGATGTAAACCTGCTATTTCATCAGTTGAGCTTATTAAGCATACATTTCTTAGCATGACTATATTGGGTTCTAACATTATATGTCAACTTTTTCATGTAGTTTTCAACCAAAGAAAGGGTGATTTAATACACACTTTGTTATTCTAAAATATGATTCTTTGATTCCACTATAGCACTAATACATTTTCAAGGGTACATTTGACTATTCTTAATTTTTTTTTAATCTCCATAGTTGATTTTAGATTCAACTGTTTTTTTTTTTTTTTTTGGTGGTGGTGATACTGGGGTTGAACCTGGGCTTTTGTACATGCTAGGCAGGCACTTTACCCCTCAGCTACATCCCCAGCCCCTCAACTCCATGTTTAAGAAGCTAATGACTTGTGTCCTTGGTTACCTCAAAGTCATCTTCTAATAATTCTTTCTTTTTCACAAGTTGTTTTTTCTTTTTTTTGCTCAAATTCTGGTGCTCTACAATCTTGTCATAATTGAAGTGTTTTTTGCCATCCTCTTCCTCATCCATCACAAGCAAAGCCATTTCAGCCTGCAGAGAGAAAAAAAAAGAGCTCAAATGTACAACAGTAAGTATTTCTCCACTGTTACTTTAAGAGTATTCTTTCTATGCAAGGAATGGAGAATGAAGCATTAAGATGCACAGTAGATAGCTAGACAGGCTTACAGTGCTGTTAGACATGGGTAGGATAGAGATGATGGTTTTTATTTAAAAATGAGACCTCAATTCACTCAGTGGAACTGACTAATAGCTTCAGGAACAAGAGTTTCCACCTGGTCAAATATAAATTTCATTTTCACCTTGCTCTCTGTAAGTAATGACACTAAATCTGTTTTGTGATACAAGCTGTAGTTTCCAGATGTATACTTAACAACCAAGAGAAATTTCTTTTGCTTTTTTTGGTGGGAATGGAGTTTGAACTCAGGTGCTTTACCACTCTGAGCCACTCTGTTTTGTTTTTTTTTTTTTTTTTTTTGGAGATAGGGTCTCACCAACTACCATGGCTAGTTTCAAACCGCAATCCTCTTGAACTCTGCCTCCTGAGTTGCTAGGATTACAGGCATGAGCTACCAGTGCCTGGCTGCTTTTTTTTTGTTACTTTTTCAATAGTGATGCATTTCTGCAAAGACAGAATCTTACCATTTGCTTCTGAAATCTAATATAGTCTCTTTCCACTGAATAGATATTTTCTATTGATCATGGGATTAAATGAGAATCCCTAACAATGAAGTTAAAAAAAATAAAAAAGAATTAAGTATAGTTGAGGAAATACAAAGAAAAATCTTCCTATATTATCAGTTTAGAATACTTTAATTTCTTTCACTACTGTATTGGCAATGACAGGTGACTTTTTTTTTTTAGTGGTACTGGGGTTTGAACTCAGGGCTTCGTGCTTACTAGGCAGGTGTTTTACCATTTGAGTCACATCTCCAGCCCTTTTTGCTGTGGTTATTTTGGAGACAGGATCCTACTTTTTTTCCAGGTCAGTCTGGACAGCAATTCTCCTATTTTTTTAGGCTTCCTGCCTTATGCCCAACTTTTTCCCCACTGAGATGGGGTCTCAGAGACTATTTTTGCCTGGGTTGGTCTGGAATCACTATCCTCCCCATTTCAGTCTCCTGCATAGCTTGGGACGGCAGGTACGTGCGACCATGACTGGCTGTTGGCTGTGATGGGATCAGGCTGGCCTTGAACCATGATTCTCCTGATCTCATTCTCCCTGTAGCTAGGATTATAGTCATGAGCCAAGGGAGCCTAACTTACAGGTGACTTCTTTTTAGAGTCATTTTCCACAAAGATTTTCTTTGTTGTTCTTTAAGTCACTTGAGTATTCCTTATATGCAATGAGTTGAGAAGAGAAAGACATAAAATGCACAGTTTAGGTGACCAGTGAGGATCCCTCCCAGGCAGTGGTGTGAACATCAGCCATAGGGGGTTAGCTGATTCTACTTCCTGCCTCAGTCAAAGCACTATATGACTCTGGCTGGACCTGTGGAGTCACTGAGGCACAAGGGTTACCACATTGCCAATGAAGACTTTTATTTTGTATATTAAATTTGTGTTGTTCATAAGAATAAAGAGAAATTAGTATGTGATAAGACATAATAGCAACATCTATATTATAGGGCACATTCAGATTGAAATAAATGCTTGTGTTAATATTCTTGGGTTTTAATTTTCTGTCTCAGTAAAGTTTTTTTTTTTGGTGGTGGTGATAACTAGAATTTGAACTCAGGGCCTCACGCTTGCTGGGCAGGTGATTTACCACTTGTGCCACTCTGCCAGCCCTTTTTTGCGTTGGGTATTTCCAAGATGGGGTCTTGTGAACTGTTTGCCCAGAATGGTTTTGAACTGCAATCCTCTGATCTCTGCCTCCTGAGAAGCTAGGATTACAGTTTGAGCTACAGGCTCCCAGTGTAGTAAAGGTTTTTAATGAGAAATTTCCCTTTTAATCATAAAGGTATACACCCTGGATCGGAGGTAAAATTTAACTTTATACTAGTTGGAGAAATGATGTTCAGTGATATTTAAAACTATGTGGCTAAAGTATTTAATTATGTATCTTATAATTTATTTATAAATAAATTGCTAAAATCAGTTATTTTAAAAAATCACACTGAAAACTCATGCAGACAATTTCATTTAAGTTGCACATATCAATTATCTACTAGGCATTGTAACAACCACCTTTCACACATTAGCAGGACAAGTGGTTTTATTGTGATACTTTCACACATGCATACACTATACCTTCATCAAATTTCCCTGTTCTTTTCCTCCACCATATCCTACCTCCTCCCTTCGTAAAATAATTTCAACAGGTTTCTACCTTTTGCCTTTCTATTTCAGTTTCTTCCTCTGGAGATGTGCCATCTTTTGCAGATTTCAATGATTTTTTCTTTATACCTGGTACAACAAACCAACAAGGGTTAAAAATGATGGGATTAACAGCAGCAATCTGTTTACACTATGAAGAAAAATACAAGATATCCAGGAGTAATGTTAACAGTAAGTGTCAAAACTAAAGGAAGAAAAACCACATTACTAAAAGAAGGCTGTGGGTACCAACAGAATAAATACAATGCTTCTAGACAGCATGACTGAAAACTATAAAGAAGAAAATTCTGGTAGGTATGGTGTGCACAACTCTAATCTCAGTATTTAGGAGGCTGAGGAAGAGGGATAGTGACTCCAAGGCCAGCCTGGGCTACATAGTGAGACCTTGTCTTAAAAAGAAACAAACAAAAATAACAAAAAAGTAGAATAACAACAAAAACAAAAAAACACTGTATTACATATAATGAATACAATGGAACAATATCGTTTAGTATTTTCGTAGTGGAAAAAAAGGGATTATTCAACAACTGGTGCTGGGAAAATTGTTTCATTCTAGAAAAAAAGAACTGAGGTTAAGCCTTACCTCATATTATACAGGAAAATAAAATGCAGATATAATATTTAACTCTTAAATATTATAGGGCTGGAGTATGCTCAAGTGGTAGGGTGCCTGCCTAGCATGCACGAAGTCTTAAATTCAGACTCCGATAATAATAAAAAAAAAAAAAAAAAAAGAAAGAAAGAAAAGAGTTCAACATAAAACAAAGCAAAACATAAAACACCAAGAGGAAATATAGGGGAATAGTTACTTATCTTAAACTGCAATGGGAAAAAACAAACCCATTTAAATATATAAACTCAACACTCTGTACATCAAAAAAAAAAATCTGAAAAAAAAACCCCTCATTTGCAAAACAAAAACCTAACATTTACAACAACAAAATGATAGTCATTACCTAAGTACAAGTTTAACAAGGCCTTCTTTTCCTTTAACAAAGGTCTTTGGTTAGCTTTCTGGCTCTATTATCTGGTGGTCAAAGTGACTCCTGACTTTGGGCTTCCCTTAATACAGTGACTCTTGTAATTGGTACAAAGTCTGGCACAGACTGAGAGCTATGTGTAGGGGCTATTGGAAAGATATCAGTTACTATTTGGAACATGAGATTTCCAGCATGCACCAGTGACTACTGAATACTGTGTCTCCCTTCCTCATATCTGAGCTACACAGCTGAGTGATCTTGTGTGAGGACTAACACTGGGGAAAAACACCCAGTGCTGCCTTTCTGTGCTTCCTGTTCTGAACACCTGTGAGTGCCAAGTGTGATCCACTCAAGTCTTTTGAGTTTCTCCAGTGGAGCCTAAGATTCCATTGTGGGTATAGTGTACCTTAATTAAGTGATCTGTGGGATAATCTGGCATTCAGTGTCCTCAGATGTGATATATTATGAGCGATTGTTTATCAAGTATTCCTGCCAAACCAGAATATACAGGGAACTTAAAAAACTAAATTCTCCCAAAACTAATGAACCAATAAAGAAATGGGCACGTGAACTAAACAGAACTTTCTCAAAAGAAGAAATTCAAATGGCCAAAAAACACATGAAAAAATGCTCACCATCTCTAGCAATAAAGGAAATGCAAATTAAAACCACGCTAAGATTCCCTGTTAGAATAGCCATCATCAGCAACACCACCACCAACAGGTGTTGGCGAGGATGCGGGGGAAAAAGGAACCCTCTTACACTGTTGGTGGGAATGTAGACTAGTACAACCACTCTGGAAAAAAATTTGGAGGCTACTTAAAAAGCTAAACATTGATCTTCCATTGATCCAGCAATACCACTCTTGGGGATATACCCAAAAGACTGTTACTCCAGAGGCACCTGCACATCCATGTTTATTGTGGCACTATTCACAATAGCCAAGTTATGGAAACAGCCAAGATGCCCCACCACTGACGAATGGATTAAGAAAATGTGGTATCTATACACAATGGAATTTTATGCAGCCATGAAGAAGAACGAAATGTTATCATTCACTGGTAAATGGATGGAATTGGAGAACATCATTCTGAGTGAGGTTAGCCTGGCTCAAAAGACCAAAAATCGTATGTTCTCCCTCATATGTGGACATTAGATCAAGGGCAAACACAACAAGGGATTGGACTTGAGCACATGATAAAAGCGAGAGCACACAAGGGAGGGGTGAGGATAGGTAAGACACCTAAAAAATTAGCTAGCATTTGTTGCCCTTAACGCAGAGAAACTAAAGCAGATACCTTAAAAGCAACTGAGGCCAATAGGAAAAGGGGACAGGAACTAGAGAAAAGGTTAGATCAAAAAGAATTAACCTAGAAGGTAACACCCATGCACAGGAAATCAATGTGAGTCAATGCCCTGTATAGCTATCCTTATCTCAACCAGCAAAAACCCTTGTTCCTTCCTATTATTGCTTATACTCTCTCTACAACCAAATTAGAAATAAGGGCAAAATAGTTTCTGCTGGGTATTGAGGGGGGGGAGAGGGAGGGGGCGGAGTGGGTGGTAAGGAGGGGTGGGGCAGGGGGGAGAAATGAACCAAGCCTTGTATGCACATATGAATAATAAAAGAAAAATGAAAAAAAAAAAAAAGTATTCCTGCCAAAAACACTCAATATGAATCTAAGTGAACAACTAATTTAACTTTCCATTTACCACAAATATAGGGGACAAAGGATAAGAAACTATTAGATAAACTTGAATGTGAAACATTCCAAGAGATCTCTAACCCAGCTCTTGAAAAGGCAAACATAACAATGAAGGAAAAAAAAGAGAATGGGGTCTTCTACATTATAATGTTTCAAAGAGATAATAAATGCATTGTATGAGCCTTGTATGTATCTGAGTATACATGAAAAGCTATAAAAGACCCTCAAATAACTGTAGAAATTCCAATATCACATGTTATGAGAGAATTAGTGTTATTTTTCTTATGTGATAAAGTTATCATGGTCATGCAACAGAGTTTGTTTATTCATGGGAGATGTATGCTGAAATATTTAGGGGCACATGCTCATGAATGTTTGCATTTTATTTACAAATACTTCAGCAAAAAAATCTATTATTAAATGTCTTTTACATAGAAATATCTTTCTAAATTATCTTTATGATACATCATGAAAGTGTACAAAGCAAATGGCAAAATGATAATGGCTGAACATAGGTGATGTTCACTGTATTATTTTCAACCTTTCTGAAAGTTTATGAATTTTCATATTAAAAATAAATAGTTACTATTATAATGACACAACTTTGCTTTCCTATATAAGGGTCTCATGTAAACCATTAAAAATATTAACACTTATGAGCTGGCATGCACAAGGCCCTGGCTTTGATCCCCAGAACAAGAAAACAAACACAAACAGACAACAACAAACACTTTAAAAATTCACAGACAGAAGCTACTGGTCAATCAATAGAAGAAAATTATTTCAGCCACCTCACAAATACTGAGCATCTATTATGCTGCAAGCACTGGTTCAGGTGCAGGTGACACAAACAGTACACATATCAGTTCTTTCTCTCATGGAGTTCACCTTCTAGTTGGGGAGGATATGTAAAGAAGGATAAAAAAGGGTGGAAAATGAATAGTGAGGCTGACTGGGAAAAGGCAACATATAAACAATGACCTGGTCAAAGTGAAGAGGTGAGATGTGACACACCTGAAGAATGTTCCAGAGGGGAAGATTAGCTTGCAACAGGGAGGCCTGTGGGGCTCAGTGGAGACAGGGTGAAGACCAGAAGACAAAGTCAGACAGACAGAAAGTGCCTAAAACTCACACCATTGCACCCTGTTCTCAGCTGATGAAATGACTTATTATTTGGCTAAGAAAACAGAAAAAATCAAAAGTTAATTTTCAGAAGCTCCCACAACAAAACTTGTACTCTATTGTGCAGGAAAATGATTTTGGAGCTAGAATGCCTAGGTTTGAAACCTAGTTTAAATATTTACTAGCTGGATGGCCTTAACTAGAGGGCTAATTCACTTAACTTTTCTGTACCTCAAAGCATGGAGGTATTGAAGCATGGAGGAAGTAACTGTACTGATCACATAGGCTGTTGTGAGTATTAAATGAATTAAAATAGGTAGAGTGCTTAGCAGAGCGCCTGGTACACAACAAGCACTGCGAAAGTGGGGGCTGTTATTTTGACTATTATTACTTCCATGGATGAATGTCTATGATACATGTAAGTCAATCCCATGACCGTATAATGGATCTTAGCTCTTCTTGCCGCCTTACAGATACTATTTTAATAATTATTTCTTTTTTTTTCCTTGCATCATTGCTTTTCCTTCTCCCTACCAGTTATATTAGCACACAAACATCTCAATTTAAAAATCAAGCAACAGCTGGGCTCAGTGGCATATACCTGTAATATGAGGTACTCAGGAGGTAGAGATCAGGAGGGTTTGAGAACAGCTGGGGAAAAAAAGTTAGTGAGACGCTATCTCAACAAACAAGCTATACAAGGTGATGCACAACAATTATACTATCTATGCAGGAGGCATAGCTAGGAAGATCTTGGTCCAAAGTTAGCCAAGGCAAAAACAAGACCCTATCCCAGAAATAACTAAAGCAAAAAGGGTCTGGGAGCATGGTTCAAGTGGTAGAGCACTTACCTAGCAAGTTCAAATCCCAGTGCTGAAAAAAAAAAACCAAAACACTGTCTCTTGACACATTTTCTTCACCTGGCCTCTGGACCAATTCTTTCTCTTCCCTCACCATGCCCCCAGGGCTCATTTACTGGGTCTCCCCTACCTTTTTTTGTGCTGGGAAGTAGTACTGTTATGTATATTAATTACTTTAACCTTCCCAATGCTATGAGATAGATTTTATTATTTATTTTTTTGTGGATGAGGAAACTAGTTTGTCTCAGGTTTACTAAGTGAAGGAATCATGATTCAAACTCAAACACTGTGGTTCAGGCTCTCTAAGGTTAACCATTACACCAACACCTTTGCCACTAAATGTCATTCTCCCTGTAATAGCCCTTTCAGCTTAGAATGCATTGTGTCGCAAAGTAACAAAATTAAAGCTAAAAACATACAATGGTGATTGAATAAATAGGAAGAGGGAAGCCTAAAGTTAAGAGAGTCTTAAGAAACTGCTCTTGTGGGGTGCTTTTGTAGCTCACATCAGTAACCCTAACTACTCGGCAGGCAGAGATCAGGAGGATCATGGCTTGAAGCCAGAAGGGGAAAATAGTTTGTGAGACCCTACCTAGAAAACACCCAACACACAAAAAAGGGTTGGGGGCATGGCTCAAGTGATAGAGCACTTGCCTAGTAAGTGTGAGGCCCTTAGTTCAAAACCCTGGTACTGCCAAAAAGAAAAAAAAGAACCGCACTATGTGTATTAAGTCCCTGTTGTAATCTTGCAGACCCATCTAGTGGACATGCCCAGTAGACAGAATACTCATGCAATAAAAGTACTGCTAGGCACACCTCTTAGTGCTACCAAGGCCATTTGTTTTGCACTTCCAAGAAGAAATATTGTATGCATCTCTTCTCCCCAAAGTAAAAATATGAAATTACTCTTATTTGAAATGTTTTTCAGGAAATGAGATATCTACCTTAAGAGTATAACGTTTTCTGTCTGTGGGTATCTATTTTTATAATCAAGTGTCAAGGTTCCACTTTCTTGGGATGAACTCCATCCCCTCTGCTCCTATGCTCTCCAGAGTACCTTGGGAAACAAATGGACAAATGCCATATGCAGAAGGTTGCTGTGTGGCAGAGAAACATCAGGCTGTATATAAAGATCTTCACATACAGCTGTGGAATATAATTTCAAAGAGCCCACAATGAACTGCTCCAGATTTTTATAACAGCCTGATGAAAAGTCATAAAAATAACATAAAAGGAATACTGAAGCAAGGGAGAAAAAAATGAATCTCTAAGATGGTCAAGGCTAAAAGTGATACTCAATCTTAATGTGATGAAAATTTCTTTGCTCACAAAAATTTACTATGTGCTAGACTGAACTGTTTAGTCAAAAGATTAATAATGTATATTCTTTCTTAACAAGATTATTTTAAGAGGATGCATCTTTTTTTTTTTTTTTTAAAGCAACAGAGGCCAATAGGAGAAGGGGAGCAGGAACTAGAGAAAAGGTTAGTTCAAGAAGAATTAATTTAGAAGGTGACACACATGTACAGGAAAGCAATGCAAGTCAACTTCCTGTATGGTTATCCTTATCTCAACTAGCAAAAACCCTTGGTCCTTCCTATTATTGCTTATACTCTCTCTTCAACAAAATCAGAGATAAGGGCAAAATAGTTTCTGCCTGTTAGCGAGGCGGGTAGGGGGAAAGAGGGAGGGGGTGGGGGGGGGGTGGGAAAGAAGGGGACGTGGGGAAGGGGGGAGAAATGACCCAAACATTGTATATACATATGAATAAAAGAAAAAAAAAAAGAATTGAAGAAGAAAATTGGTAGACTACCAGCTTAGAAGATACCCATTTACATCACCAATTATGCCAGAAAAACATTGTTGGTGAGTAAAACCTAACTTCACTACAGATACTATTGTCCTAGATGTTCTAATTCTCTCCTTTTTCTTGCTTCCAAAGATGAATTTGGTGACTCTCTTCTTTGCAATCACGTTTAAAACGTTTCCACTGAAGAAGACTACAAAGGTCAAAAAATAGTAGTATACAAACCATATGTCCTTCTAAAATTCACTGAATCCCAAAGAAAATGGTGAAGGTCTGTCATTCACTTCAGTGACAAATGAGTAAAGGACAGAGATCAAGAAAAAAAAAAAAAGTGTTTCTTCTCTCTAGAAAGTTTTCAGACTTAACTTACATGCAGAGTACCAGGAAAATAAAAGTTCCCGTTCTAAAATACTAACTTTATCAGGGATATCTCCTGGCAAGTAAGAAATCATCTCTCAAAGAAAAAAAAAAAAAGAAATCATATCTACTAAGCTGGGCTGGTAGTGGATCATGCCTGTAATCCCAGCACTTGGAAGGCTGAGGCAGGAAGATCAGAAGTTCCAGGCCAGCTTGGGCTACACAGCAAGACTGTCACAAAAACTCAAACAAAATACAAACAAACAAACAAAATATCCTATCTCCTGGGAATGCTACTAAAAGTATGTGTAGATCATTTCCAATACGTCAAATACCAACACAGACTCAAACTCAGATGTTAAGAGTTTTATAGTGGGGGGTGGGGAGGGGAGGTGACCCAAACAATGTATATACATGCGAGCAAATGTAAAACAATAAAAAAAAAGTTTTAAAGAAAATGAGTCTAAATGATTTATACATATTTTTAGTCATTAAGTGAGGTAGGCACCTTAGGGGTCAAAACCTGTATTAATGTACCTTCAAAGTGTCATTTCCTTTTTCAGCTAGAACTGTTTGTAGAGCATGCCCAGAGGGGTTCCTGTCTTCTACCTTTAGGATATAAGCTGAGCATACTCAAAAGTGCTCATGTCTGCCATTTTAACATTTCAAACATTCGCTTGCTTCATGACCTTGAGTTAAACATGCCCTGAAAAATGCTCTTCTCTTTATATGACCTCAAACTGAACCTGCTCAAGAATGTGCCCACCCCTAAAGTGCTTTCCTGTATGTATAGTCTCCCCAAATAAAATCTCCATGCTTGTTCCTGTAGGAAGGCATTGTTTTTGGAAAGATTTCTCAGCTCAAGTGGTAGAACACTTGCTTACTAAGCACAAGGCCTTAAGCCTAAATTCTAATCACAATCCCCCACAGCCCATCAGCCTGTTTTTCTTTAAAACACAAAAAAACCAACAACTTAAGCCCAGATAGAAATAATTCCTCTTCAGAAACATTCTGAAATCAAAATACACTGAAGGCAAGCAAACCTTATCTATACTTTTCACTTGGAACTTTTGATACTAACTTTAGAGAATGCTTATAAACAATTTAAATATGCTGATTCCAAGAAACTGGCTACTCTAAGCCATGGAACCATTTTACTCACTCTTTGAATTCTCATCTGAGTTCTGTAATCTGACCAGATTTCACATGCCAAATGAAGCACTCTGGACATAGAATAAGGAAACTATAATGTTTCATTATTTCTCCATTACAAACTTTGGCTTAGCCAGAGGATAAGGCTAAAATCCATCATCTTCTAGAAATGACCGCTCAGGTACAATAAAAAGCAGAATATGTTAAGTTTCCATTTCCCTTTCCAATTGCCAAGAATCTCACATATTATAATAGGCTTTATTCATTTTGATCTCCTTTTCATCAATAAAATGTCAGTGCTCAAAGGCTGTAACAACCAGGAAATAATTTTGAGCAATTTTGACTTTCCTGTTGAGAACTCTTTTGGCCCAATACCCAGGAGGGATGAGAAGCAGGGAAACTTCATGAAATCCTTCTCTGTACAATGCCAGCTTGAAAGCTTGAAGTTGCTCCAAGAGCATGTCTTTTGGGGTTCATGTGTGTGGTATAAAGATCAGGGGAAAGGTAAAATGCATGAGAGCAAATTGAAAATGCTTTCAGTGGTCTCAGCACTGATTTGTCCAAGTATGGTTTGAACCTTACTAAACAGATTTACATAAAGGTAAGAATGAAAGCATTCCAGAAAGAATGAGTCATACGTATGTATGCAATGGAAATAAGACTCCCTGGATATAGGAAATGAGACACCAGATAATTTAGGGATTCAAAGAAAAGGGAAAGCAAGAGGACAGCTGGATTTTACCTACAGTTCAGTAGGATAAATACAAAAGAGACAAAAGAACAAAGATGCCTTTGAATATTTGAGCAAAAAAGGCCACTATACTGCAATTCCATAAATAAAAAAAAAAAACCATACACACATATCAATACAAATTCATCTCACTTATACTTCTTGACAGCCTTTGAGAAAAAGGCTTGAGTGGATGTACTATGAAAAAGCAGCAAATGTGCACAAGATACTATTCCTCTATTTCCTCTCATCCTTTTTGAGAGTGCATCTGAACAGTTACAAGGATAATTCCCAAAAAGGAATCACCATTAATCTATTAATACATTACCAAAAGTCTCCTATAACAAAATTATTCCTTATGTACAGGGACTATGCTGACCTCTTCCAATAGGGTCAATCGTTGGACCCCAGAGGACGGACTTGCTTAATAAGCTACTGATGGAGTAATCCATTAGTGAAGTTGCAATCCAAATTCTAGTAATTTTAAAAGAATGCTTGGTTTGTATTTTTTTCAACATGTCATCCTTTTCTTTAGGTTCCAACTGAAAATTATAAACATGGGCTGACTTACCTATTTTTTTTAACTTCTTCGGCAAAGTATGGGTCATTCAAATCAACATCAGAGGGAAGTTCATCTTCACTGGCTTCTTCAGCAAGAGCCTTAAAGTCAAATGTAAAAAATAGTTTCATTATTATAAAGCCTATAATCTATTTTACAGATTTTATATTACCATATATATATAAATATGAAGAAAAATTATTTGCAGGGTTTTTTTTGGGGGGTGTGATAAGTTTTGAACTCAGGGCCTCATGTTTGCTAGGCAAGTGCTCTTCCACCTGAGCCATGACCCCAGCCTTTATTGCTTTAGTTATTTTTTCAGAAAGGATCTCATGCTATTTGCATGGGGCAAGCCTGGAATGTGATCCTCCTACCCATGCCTTCTAGGTAGCTGGGATTATAGCTATGTAGCAGCATGCCCAGCTTGTTTATTGAGATGAAGTCTCATTAATTTTTTGCTTGGGCTGGCCCCAAATCACAATCCTCCCCAACTCTGCTTACTGAGTAGTTGGGATTACTGGTATGAGCCACAGTCCTTGCCTGCATTTCTTTTAAATCAAGTAATTCAACCTAAAATTAAAAGTTTAGCTGGATGCTGGTGGCCCACACCTTAGTAGCCAATCCTAGCTACTCAGGAGGTAAGAGATAAGGAGGATCGTGTTTTGAAGCCAGCCTGGGCAAAAGTTCACGAGACTCCATCTCAAAAAAACACATCACAAAAGGGCTGGTGGAGTGGCTCAAGGTGCAGGCCCTGAGTTCAAAACTCAATAACGCAAAAAATAAAATAAAAAAAAAAGGGTTAGTTTATAAAATACCTCTCTAAGCCATTGCTTTATTTGTTCAGCAGATAATTAGGGAATAGTTAGTAAGCACAGGAAACTATGTAACAATTTTGGGAGAAATGAACATAATCAAAACACATGGGTTTCTCCCCTCAAAAATTTTACAACCTATTAAAGGAAATGAGACAAACAGACTTATGCATAAGTAATAATAATTCAAGATAGAAAATGCTAGAAGAGACATGAAGGGCTATCGACATTCAGAGGAAGAGAATACTCTTACATGGGTGACCAGTGAAAAGAGGTGGCTTGATCTCTGATAAAATTGAGAAATGGCAGAGACTGTCAATAGCTTGAAGTCATTATAGGTTATCTACCCAGTCTGTTTGCTGGTTAATTGAAGAGAAGGATTTCTATTATAAAATTAAAAAACACATATAAAAGTAATAAAGACAGTGTCACGAACCCTCTGTTATTGCCATCCAATTTCAATAATTATCTTGTTTTATCTATAATCTACCCCTGCAAACTATTGTCTCTTTTAAAGTAAATCTGTTCATTAAATTTCCCCTCATCAAATTTGAACGGTCTACTATATTAGCATATTTAAATTAAGAAGTCAATCCAATAAAATAAAAATACCTGAATTAAGATAAGGCTAACCAGATTGAGTTTATTTTCAGGAATCTAAAATGTCTCTAAGCCATTTTAATGAAAATGTTTAGAATGAATTACTGGTAAATGTCATCCTGCATGCAAGAAGATCCACTAAATCCTAAAGTAACTGAAAGAAAAGGGGGCCAAAATATGTTTAACTTGAATTCTTTTGTATACAGAAACTTGTGGAGATGGAAAGGATATGCTGCTACCAAGTCCAGTACAGAGACCTAAATCTGGAACACACTGATACTCAGTAACTGTATTTGAATGTGATTGAGTCCAGACTTTGTCCAATAAAAGGAAAAAGTATAAGATACGCTTAAAGCTCTTCCTACAAGTCACAGCTTTTCTAAAAGCACTATATGACTACATAGCATAGACAGAAACAGTACAGTACAGCACAAAGAATGGACTGGGAGATCATGGATTCTAATTTAAGCTTGGCATTGGTAAGCTGAGTAACAACCTAAGACAAATCACTTAAATTTCCTACACCTATAAAATAAATGGGTTGTACTAGACCTAATCATTTCTGACTCCCCAAGTTATAAAATTTTGTGATTATCAGGAATAATATTGTAAACCAATGACACTACAGCCAGAATGTTGTATTTCAGAGACAAACAGAGTGTTTTTAGTGGCAAAAGTCTAAGTGGTCTCTGATAGTACTGAATACTCAAACTGTGGAAAAGATGTTATTACTTTTATAGATACCATATTTCATATTATTTTCATAGATACCATATTATTGCAGAGAACATATTCTTAACCAAGGGATTTAATGATAATAAGATATTAAAAGTCATACAATACTGAAAAAATGAAAAATGCAGGTTGAGCAATAGAAGTGTACAATTTCATTATGTTTAAAACTTCTACAAAGCCAGACATGGTGACGCATACCTATAATTCCAGCACTGGAAGGCTGAAGCAGGAGGATCATGAGTTTAAGGCTAGCCTGGGGTACAAAGCAGACCCTGTCTCAAAAATGAAACAAACAAACAAAACACCCTCAAAACAAAAACTCTTTCCATACAAATATATTCTTAAATAAGGAACTCTGTACCTTTCTTCTTCAAAAACACAGGGTAGAATCATACCACTTTATATCTAGATGCTGATTAGCAGTGTCCCTGATTCAGATAGCAAGTACACGTATATATTAAACATAGATCACACATGGACCAAGTGGCTCTGGGCTCTTACCAGGATTGTACACCATTTTGTGGCATTGCAGAAAACACTCAACTTACTGGACTCTCATTTTTCCTCTCTTAAAATTGGGATGATAATAAGGCCTACTCCAGGGAGTGGTTACTGTTTGATACAATGGATGACAAGCACCTTCTGATACATAGTTGGTATTCAATAAATATTTGGTCATAACTATCACTGATACCTTCTGTTTCTTTTTTAGTCTTTTTTTCTCTTTCTTCTTCTCTAAAAATTGTTCCCAAGGGGTCAGTTTATCCTTTCCTTCCAATTTGTTTTTGACCATCTCTTCTGCACTTTCTTTGAGACCTAAGGAAAAAAGCCAAATAGTTTAGTTTAAAATGTTTTATCTTTGATCACTTAGAGGTTTACAAAATAAAAGTAATTTATATTACAGGTTAATAATCTATAGAACCCTGAGATAAAAAAAATGACAGGGAATCAATCTGTCTAAAAGTTATTTCCTAATAACAAATATTAATAAATCTATCCAGATGAAAGCATATCAACAAATAAACCTAGCAACTTGATACATGGTCAAGCTACTGAAGAAAAATCCTTTAGTAGCCAGGACAGTGGTACATGCCTGAAATCCCAGCACTCAGGAAACTGAGCAAGAGGATTGTGAGTTTGAGGACAGCTTGGGCTACATAGCAAAGTGCTGGCTCAAAAGAAAAAAAGAGAAGAAATATTCTATATTTTAGTTCAAGCTTCATTTATTTCTCCAGGTTCTTTACTATGCAAAGGGAGGCTAGTAGCAATGAGAAGTATGCAACCGCCTCCCTCGTGTACTGTTTCTTCTCAAAATATTTGGTGTTAGTCCATATATATAAAACAATAGCAGTACAGCAGTATTTTTGGGCCTTGAGCCCCATAGAGAAGCTTAAAACAGTTGGAATAGATAATCTCTGAAGTCCCTTCTGTTTTTTTTTTTTTTTGACAGTACTGGGGTTTGAACTAAGGGCCCTCCCCCTGATTTTTAAGCCAAGACTTAATCCCCAGATTTCTGTCTTAGAAAAGCATTAAATTATATGCTCACTCAAGGTTATGTAGATTTGTTTTCATGACATACTGTTGGTAGGTTCTCTGGTTTACTAGATGTCAAATCAGAAATACAACTTTCTGATTAAAGAAATTAAAAAATGTTTCTTATGAGAAAAACATAGCTCATGTTACTAACTAGTTTTCAATATAAAGTCAGGTTCAGATTTCTGAATGATTCAATAGATAAACAGCACCTAGGAAATGTAAATTGAGATTCTCATCTTGGAGAAAGTAGTAAATTCTAATCATACAAGTTGATTTCAAATAAAAAATATATAGATAATGTATAAGTCAGTTAGTACACAATCACTCCAATCTCAAATTTCAAATGCACAATATTGTATTATTAGATATGATATTAAAACAATCTTTATGGCATTCTACTACAATTTCCTCATGTATTTAGAAAGATTTTATTACTTCAAAATTCTAAAATAAGGTGCTGGTAGCTCACACCTGTAATTCTAGCTACTCAGGAAGCAGAGATCAGGAGGATTGTGGTCTGAAGCAAAGCCAACCCAGGCAAATAGTATGAATATTCCTATCCCAAAAATACCCAACACAAAAAGGGGTTGGTGAAGTAGCGCCAGTGGTGGAGGCCCTGAGTTGAAACTCCAAGATCAAAAAAGAAAAATTTTTTCATTAGAAAAATTATTTTCTGATTAATTTTGATCTTTGAATCTCTACTTCTAGTCTCAGTAGTATGGTATAGAAGGTTCTGTGTAACTTTTTTTTAGGTGAATAGAGTACCGGTTTGATATGGCTTAACCTTTTTTGGAATGCAGTGGAAAAACTTGCATACCATTTTCAGAGGGTTTATGGATGGCCAGTGTTTATCTCTGTGTAAAGAGTCAAGGGCCTCAGGCAAAGAACATGCCCAGTGGCTGCAGAGGTCTAGGGAAGGAGGAGAGTATATCTCTCACAACTTCAAAAATTACCAGCATGGGCACCTGTAGATTGTATCAATTTTAGCTTCACTGACCTTGATTTTTATACAACTCATGATCCTCCTGCCTCTGCCTCCTGAGTGTTGGGATTACAAGCACAAGCTACCACTCCCAGTCCTACTGACATTTTAAAACAGATAATTCTTTGATGTGAAGGGCTACCTTGTGCATTAGAAGACATTTACAATGTCTTTGATGATACCAGTGACCCAGCTGTAGCAATCAAAAAGTCTCCAGGAATTGCCTGGGGTCTGTAGTGGGGCACAGTCATCACTAGTTGAATACAACTGTCTAGACAATTATTAGAGGTTATCTCTGAAAAGATTCTATGTCAGTATTTGTACTGCATAAGTGATGTGTTATTTTAGTTGATACTTAATTATATTTCTTTCTACTTTATAAGTTTCATCTGCATTTGGCTTCTCTTTATACCAGAAGCAGCTTAAAGTCACCTTCTTTTGTATTCCATAATATTTAGCATGATGCCAAATGTACTTAATAAACACTTAATTGATCTGAATTGAAGGATGGATACTTATTTCAAGCCAAGTGTTTGATCTTTCATGCTTAGAATATATTTTCTCCAACAGAAAATGAATCAAAACTTAAAAGTCTAAATAAATGGTTTTTATGCCTAAGTGGTTCATGTGGTCTTAAAATAAAAAAAGACCTGTAGCTCTAGAATAATTCATGAAATACTGATTCTTAGAAAACAATACTTTTCTGAAATTTAGTTTGTTTTGTAACAATAAATACTATCTTAAGTTAAATACAGTCTAATTTTTTGCCTGGCTCTCACTTAATATACCAAAACTGTAGAAAACAAACACATTGCAGTGAATTAACATACCACTGTGATAAGTTAGAAATGCTTTGTTCTCCCTGTTATCATGAGGTCATTTAATTCTCTTGCCACAGATCACAGTAGTTTATGTTCTAAGTTCTTAAAAGTATGCCCATCCCAGAAGTCTCTTGGCAATTACACAAGAACATTCTTTAGAGTCAGTTTTAGCCTCATTTGAGAGAAGCCACTATGTGACTGAAAAACAACTTCATTATAACTTTCTAGCTTTGTACAAATTTGTTTTAAAAAATTTTAAGCATATATACAAGGACTGCCAAATTACTTAAAGATAGCAACAATAATCCCACAAATACAAGGCAAAACTCTGTTTTAAAGCTAAACATGAATGCAGATGATTCAGTATGACAATAGTAATTTAAGAAAAATTCACTTGGAATTATTTTGGCAGTTTTTATGCATATAAAAATATACATAAATACCTTTACAAAATCCACTAAAATAAAAGAGTACACATTCCTCCTGACCTTGCTCATATGAAATATTTCAAGTTTTCAAAGAACAGGACATGAATAATTTAAAACAACTCAATTAGGTACTACACTAGGCTTTGTTAATAAAAAAAATCCATGTTTTAAGATTTCTGATACAGGCTGCAACTGACACTTTTTATTTAAATGAGGACTAAGGATTCATTCAGAATATTTATGTACAGTTATGGCTCAGTCTTTTTTTTATCTGTATGTTATAAATCAGACTGTATAACACTCAATTCCAAAAGCTTTTAAAATGTAACTAACCACCATCACTTCAGCCAAAACACCAAACTTGGAATTCATTCTGGGTGCAAGGCTTTATAGAAAGCCTTGGAGCATTGCCATCAAAAGCATCCTTTCAAACTATTATCCCCAAAGGTGTAGGGACAAGGAAGGGCACATTTACTCATGTAACAAGGGTCAAAGGGATACTTGGTCCAGACAAGCAAAGGGAATCTTGGCCGGTGTCATTTTTTTTCAAGGTAAGGTAAGGTAAGGTAAGGTAAGGTGACTGTACTCAGTGTATCCTTAAAGTATAATGGATAAATTACCAAGCTTTCTAATGAGAAAGATGAAGATTTTGAACTTGCTTCAGGATCTCATAATTTATTTGAACTTCTCCGAAGTCTCCCTGTCCTAAACTTTTACAGTAACATGTTCTTCTATTTGCAATTTATTTACAGCTGCAATTTTATATTTGTGTGCTTAAAAATGATTATTTAATGACTACGAGGGGCAGAAGCCAAAGCTTGTTTTCTCATGAAGGTAACCCTAGAGGCAGGCCTGGCATACTGCACACTTCTTATAAATGTATGCTGAATAAATGAGCAAATGAAAGGAAAAATGAGTCAAATTTGTTCTCAATCTACGGACTCGTGGTGATGATGCAAGAAATTTAAAAGTAAAATAGAAACTAGTTTTAGGAGCAGCAGTAAACACAGCAAAAACTACCAATCAACCTGAGATAACAAATGTTTTGGTTGCACTTAATAGTATTAGACTACTGTTATTTGTACTATATGAAAACAACACAGACAACTAAGATGAGGATAAGGATAAGTAAGATGCTCAGAGTGGGAACTGCTTCTCACATAACTGTTAATTCTGTTTCTCCCAGTACATTCAATGTTGTATACCCAGAAGATACACCAAAGTACTCAGTGAATGAATAAATGCAAGTATGTTTTGTTGCTCATTGCCCAAAAGCTATTTTGCTGGGTAGAAACTGCTTGATATTTGTCTGGAATCTGAGCCTATCTTGAACACTGACCTCTTCTACAACCCCTTTTACTCTCCCTTAAAATGGTGGCTTTGCCTTACAAGTACATTGAGTTTACTGCAAATCAAACTGTCCCTGCTTCTTAGAATCAAATGTTCTTAAAAAGCTGACTTCAAATACAAGACAACATTTGGGCCTCATTAGGGAGCTATTGTTTTCTGTATTTGCCTGCAGTTTATTTTTATGTTTTCTTTGCCTTTTAAGCAGTTTGTAATCACAATGTACATAATACTAAGCTGTCCTTATTATAGTAACAGACTAAACTTCTGGCCAAGCCTGGTGAAGCCATTCTGCTAGTTAATTTATGGCAAAGAGAACTGAACAACTATTTTTTCTATTGCAATTGTACACATGCTTACAGACAAGGTAGAAAATTAATTTTGATTAAATGGTTAAGATATAAAGAAACAAAGGGAATTTCTGAGCCCAGTTTCAACCAGAAAGCTCAAATAGAAATATTAAACCAGTTCAGAAAGGGAGCTTTTCTTGGAGATATACACTAATCTAATATGGTCTAGTATGGATGGATCTTGGGCTGTCATGGGCTGCTGGCCAAGGAAGCCAGAGACAAAGTTTGGCATCTGATCATGGTGGGAGGTCCCATCAGAGACCACTACATAAAGCTAGGATCCTTAAGTGTTCCATCAGTAAATAATGCCTTTCCCCATATAAATCAAAGGGAATACGTGCCTGTTTGGATA